ACATTGGTGAATGCCACAAATTCTCCTAAATCACTCGTACGCACAACTTAAGAACAAATCTGTGCGTACGAACGATTCTTGCATGAGGCCTATTGTTCTTGAACTTCTAGACTATTTTCTTGTGCGGTTGTGRTTGCTTGTGAATGGCTGAGCCTTTCATGGATGCACCCTCATGACTCTGACCTGTTTTCAATGAACCTGTTCACCTGTGGAATGACCCAYAAAGGTGTGTTTTGACCAATCCTCAAATTCCCCAGTCTTTTGTTGCTCCAGTCCAGTCTTTTTCCCCCAGAATTCGTTGCAGACATGAAATTAAAAGAGAGTGAATATTTGAATAAACAGGATATTTTTAAACATTAAATATGTTGTATTATTATTTTGTTCAATAAGTAGAAAATTATTAGCAAATCCTTGTATTTTGTGTTATTTGTGTTTTACATAACATCCAGATTTCACTTTAACTGGAGCTGCTCTTGAGTGAGCATAATTGTAAAAGTAATTTTAATTTCATTTATTATTATGTATTTATYTGTTACTTTTTATTGTGAGTTGCTGAAAGTTTTGAATCATACTCAAAATTATGTCAATCCTTTTAAGAATTGTTTTACTTTAAAAGTTTATTTTTTGGTATTTTTTGACAGCACTCCAAAAACATAGATATGAGCTATGGTGTAATAAATGGCATTCAATTAAATAATTTTCGTTATCACACGTTTTAGTTACATCTGCCGCTGATTAACTAATATGGTTAGATATTATATTATTTCACGGCTTGTGCGTGTGATCTCTGTGCATTCAGAAGTGTCTGTGTGACATATTGTGACATCTTGTTCGCTCCACCTTTATAGCAATTTGTATTAATATTTGTTTTATTATTATTTTTTTTCATATCCGATATGTAACACGTGAGGTCGCTCATGACCGCGTCTTTCCTGAGCTTGCTGTTTGAAATCTCCTTGCTGTTTGAAATCTCCTCCTCTCCTTGCTGAGTCGCAGCGGTGCTTTGTGCGACAGACATGCGCGCAGAGCCGAGGAGCTGCGTGGATGAGAGCACAAACTATTGACTGATCGAGTTGCGTTTTATGGATGAAAATATACTGGGATGCGTCTGTGTTTTTGATTTTTGATTTTAGAAATGGGCAGAGGAAGGAATAATGGGATCATCTGTTTTTTCCTCATGCTGTTTGTTTCCGACCGGGCTGCCGCTCAGATTTCCTTCTCTGTGGCTGAGGAGGCGGACAAAGGAGCCGTGGTGGGAAACCTCGCCAAGGAATTAAACGTGAACAATCGAGACCTGCAAACGAGGAATCTAAATATTGTGTCGGGGTACAGTAAGAAGTATTTCGATGTGAATTTTAAAACGGGAGAGCTTTATGTGAACGAGAGAATAGATCGCGAGGAGCTGTGTCCAAACGCGATTAAATGCACGTTAAACCTGGAGGCCATTCTGACTGATCCCGTGGTGCACCGACGCATAGAGGTGCTGGTTCTTGATGTAAATGACAACGCACCTCTTTTTATTGAAAAATCCGTTTCGCTCAACATTTCTGAATCTACTCCGACGGGCGAGCGGTTCTTGCTTCCTTTAGCTGTGGATGCAGACGCAGGCAGCCATTCTGTGAAGACGTACAAGCTGAGTCAGAATGAATATTTCTCCCTGGATGTGCAGAGCGGTGGAGAACACAGCGTATCCGCTGAATTAGTGTTGCTTAAAGCTTTGGATCGGGAGAGGCAAGCTGCTATTAAGCTAACACTGACCGCTGCAGATGGGGGCAAACCTCCTAACACCGGAACGGTTCAGATCAATGTTATTGTTCTGGATATTAATGATAACACGCCATCTTTTAGTAAAACACTTTATAAAGCTCGAGTTAATGAAAACGCTCCAGCTGGATTATTAATTATTCAGCTTAATGCCACAGATTTAGATGAAGGTGACAACGGGAAGGTGGCTTATTATTTTGTAAAACGCGCAAATTTTAATCCTGCCGATGTTTTTTCAATAAATGCAGAAACGGGTGAGATCACTGTTAAAGGCAAATTGGATTTTGAAGCACAGCCAGCGTATGAAATTCACGTTCAAGCTATAGATAAAGGTTCGTCACCTCTAAGAGCAAATGGGAAGCTTTTGATAGAAGTAGTGGATGTGAACGACAATAAGCCAGAAATTGTTGTGACGTCACTCATGAACCCTGTCAGAGAGGATGCTGAGATAGGAAGCGTTGTCGCTTTAGTGACAGTGACTGACAAAGACGGGGGTAAAAACGGTCAGACAACTTGCAAACTTGTGGGTTCATCGACTTTTAAGTTAAAATCCAATTATAAAAATTACTACTCTTTGATTTTGGATGGAGCGCTTGATCGAGAAGCACACTCTTATTATAATGTCACTGTTACAGCTAAAGATGAGGGTAATCCGTCTCTGTCCAGCACAAGTGTTTTTAACGTAGAAGTTGCTGACGTCAATGACAACCCGCCTCGTTTTGTTGAACCTGTCATTAATATTTATGTGAAAGAAAACAGTCCTGTTGGAGAAAAGATCCATACTGTAACTGCAGTCGATCCAGATATAGAGGAAAACGCAAAAGTAATTTATTCATTAGATGGTATTTCCAAAAATAWTCCAATAACTTCAATTATAAACATAAATTCAGAGACTGGTGATATAATCAGTTTGCAGACTTTTAACTATGAGGAGCTAAAAACATTTCAGTTTAAAGTTCAGGCCACAGACTATGGTGTTCCTCCGCTCAGCAGCAACGTGACTGTAAATGTTTTAATCCTGGATGAGAATGACAACAGTCCCACTATTCTGGCTCCTTATTCTGAGC